ATTTAGGGGGTCCCTCCTCCTTAGATCTGCCCCAGAAGGTCTTGATAATCTCCTTCAAATCAGAATAGAGACAACCAAGAGGGGATGAAGGGTAAAACTCACTGTTAATCCAGCATAAAAGCATTATTTTAAACAATTATTAGATTCGGTTTTTGTGGCATTGAATAATCAAGGTCGAGGTAGGGGTTATCAGCCGAAGCCGAAGGCTAAGGCTGATAACCCTTACCGAGACCTTGATTATTCTGGATATCACAAAAACCGAATCTAATAATTGTTTTATCATACATTGAACGAAAAAAGAAAAGGAAGTCACGTTTTTACTTCTTCGCTGACGGCAAGCAATACCAAGCGGGCGAACTTGACATGATTACCCGAAGAAATCATGCACCGCGGTCATACATGACATGATTACCCGTGACCTTGAGTGTCCTTGACATGATCATTGTACAATCTGCAGCTAGATGACGTCACAGGAGCTGATTTCGAAAATTCACTGTACGCTTTTGGCCAATCAGAAAAGAGCTAGTGAGTTCAATGTATAATAATCAAGCTTATCCCTCAAGTTATTTTTGACATCGTACTTAGTTCTTACCCGAATGTTATCACGCGCGTTGCGTGGATGTTTTCGTCTTGGATTCCTTTCACAGGATTGGCTGTTTCTGGACTGCCCCGAGATCTTCAAAAGTTGAAGCAAAGTAAAAATATCCTGAGAAGATTCTTTGAAACGTCGATCGGTGAAATTTCATCCTGTCAAGTTGAAACCACAACAGAAATATTTAGTTTTGATTTATATTTCAAGCCTTAGCAGAATAAAGGCATTTTGGGCGGAATACTCCGTAAATCATTTCTCTTATTAACAAAACATTAAACTATTAAAAATATATACGATGGTAGTAGCTTCCGATGTAGTTAAATAAATAAAATCATGAATTATTCAAACTTCAGCTGGGACCACGAGCTGTTTCATCGTACAGTTTACAGCTTAAACACATTATCCGAAAAGTGGCGTACGCTGCCTTTCAGGATACGTAATTTCATGGCCTCTATTCTCATCGAAAACAGTTCAGTTGTTAGAAAATTCCATGTCCACCACTGAAGAACAAACAATTTAATTAAACTATCACAGATGGTGCACCTTAACCTTTTAAAAAATTGCACTTGGCAAAATACTGAATAATTACACCAGGAACCCTTTGTTGGCAAAGAGAAAACGCTTTTTTCAAGGAATCTTACCTTACTTTCCAAAATCAAACGTCACGTTATCTCCAATCAGTAGAAAAGGCGCCCACTGCTTCACGTCAGAGTAATGAGCCGTTACATCTCATCCACGTCATGGCCTGATGAAGAGAATCACTAGCGCCTTCCCCACGAACAAGGTGATCGTAGAAAAGACTCCTTAACATCTCTGTTGAGCTGTCTTCTAGGGCCCACAGTGACACCAACACTGAGCGTGCACCAGATCATCCACGTGCACTGTGGCAACAGCTGAGGACTACCAGTTTAGCTCGCAGTCGAACTTGTGCAATTTCAGACATTGTCAATAAGTAGAGACCCTCTCGAGGTATACTGTTAGGAATAAGAAAAGAAGGTGTCAGGGCAATTGCTCCTCTTTCTGCATTACCGTGAGCAGCCAAATGAATCAGAGCCACCGAATTTATCGCTTGAAGTACCGCCTGCTTAGTAGCCTGCTGTCCTAGTAAAGGCTAACGCCGAGCTTTCTTCCTGCCTTCTTCGCTTCCTCTTCTGCACAAGGCGGTCTCGAAATGGACTTAAGACATCCTTTGAAAATCAC